CTCAACTGCTCATTGTTCATTAGAACCTCAGTTTCAAATAGTCTGACACTGGGCACAGTCACAGCAGAGCTTGATCCTGTCCCTGCCCAGTGCCTACTGAAACTCACTTCCCAGCATGAGGCTCTGAGAAGTACTCAAAAGCAAGGATTTGCTTGGCTCAGGGCTAGTGAATAGCACTTGCAATGCTACCTGTGCTTAAATCAGCTAACATAACACAACTAACCTTGAGGATTGAACGCGGTCTGTATAGGCATATCAACAATAGGTTATTACTTGTGGGTGTGTAAAACTTTCAAAAATTTAAAGAAAAGATTTGTATTTATGCAGCCTCTTTCATGACCTGAGGATATCCCAATGAATTTTGTAGCCAGAGGATGGGAAGAATTTCAAGGCTTTTGTAAGCCTTTGTATGGCCCGTGTTAATGCTCATTTGTTTGGAATCTGTGCTAGGAGAGCAAAGAAAGCAGCAGAACAGGTCATTGAGAAGAGAAAGTAAAATATAAAATATCTGCAACTATTCAGTGAATAACTCGTCTTTTTGAAAAGAAAAATATGCTTTTGCAGTTTAGTTGCTGTTATAAAATAGAAATATGACACCATTTTGGGTTGAGGGACAAATGCCACCAGAGAGAATTCTCCTGCTCCTCTTGGAATAGTCTCACGGGACACGTTCAGAACATTGGAGAAAGCAGACTGGGTCTCACATTTAGCATCTTATCAACAAGGCAAAACCTCTGACAGTGCAGCCCTCCTGCAACACTGCACTGGGTATGTTGCCCTAGATTACGTGCTGAAGTCTCTGGAGTGGGATTTGTACCTACAAGTTACTGATTCAGAGGCAAAAGTGCTACCAACTGAAGTACAGTCAAATATCTGCTACCTGTAAATGTTAAATGGACACACAATGTTCAATCTGTCAGACAATCATTGTTTAATCTTCTGTACCTATATTTCACAAACAACTCTAGGACTGAAGTGATTTGGTTTGCCATGGCACAGTGCACCGTCAAATGGATTGGGCTTCCTATGAAAGTTGGTACAGTGCTTAAATGATGAGGAAATCAGCTGTGGAAAGTTTAGTCAAATTATCCTCAGCCCTTTGTAAGTTCTCTTCCAGTTTATAGCATTATTAAAGCACTCTCTCTGTCCATTACATATTGCATCCTTATAATGCTACTCATTTAATACTATGGACTGGACCTTTACTGTAACCTTGTTAGATGCAGCTCCAGGCAGCATCACAAATATTCATCACTCAAACAGCATGTGTTAGTAACAGCTGATTACAATAAGTGCCAGCTGGGTTTGGATTTTTGGATTAAAATGAATGTGTTAATCATCTTCACCTCTAGCTTCAAGTCTTACCAGTGCCAGTTGTGGATCCAAACAAATCCAAACAGGTTAAAAATACTCTTTACTTTCATCGATACATTGAAATTGTTTGATTTGCAATGCTCGCTTTTATTGCTCAAACAACCAGACTGGGACACATCCTTGATTCTGATGTTCTGGTCATTTTGTCTCAGCTGAACACTGGCTGACCTGGGGGAGAGCCCATAAAGTCCCCATCAGCAATCCAGTTAATTTCATTAAGAAGAAGCTGCATCTGTAATGTAAAGGTCAGATGAAATGGAATAGACAGCTAAGTGAGAGAGGAGAACACAACCAGATGACCCATTATTTTTCCTGTTCTGATGATTACAGGATGAAAAGGAGGTTTCCTGGTGGGTGCTGAGATGCAGCCTGAGATTGTCCAGCAATTATAAAATGAGATATAGTACTGGAATTAACACGACATTTTAGGTGCTATCAGCTCATTGCGAATTCATCATACAGACAATAGGAAACCCACTCCAACCACCACATAGAGAAGCTACCTATGAGTACTCAAGTAAATATACTACAAAGGGATGGAATAGAATACAGTGGGTGGACAGTTCACTCTGCCAGATTACCACTCAGGTGGCCAAATTAGAAATTGCCCCCATTGTGTGATCTTAAGCTTATAGCCATGGTGTCCATTCTGCATTATTGCATGTCTTTCAGTTAATAGGTAACAAAGTTACACCAGATATATTGGCATAGTGGCCATAGTACCAAACTGTGAAGCCAGAGGTTTGAGAGTTCATATCCTGTCATGATAACTTGGATTCAATAACAAATGACCACAACTGTCCTAAAAATACCAACTAGCCTTCCTGGCGATCAGATATCACAATAGTCTTCCTCACTTGCTAAGTTCGAAGAAATTACAACCAAGGAACAGACTCGTATAGAAGTTTTCAGTGCGATAAATGTCACCCAATAACTCTTGGGTGTTAATCTCATGTCTGGGTTTGGCTTCCTTTTGGTGGAACAATATTCTGTGTAATAAAGTTCTGAATACCTGTCTCAAGTCACATATCAATACTGTTTCAGGTTGGAAGAGACTATGGTGTCGTAGAATTGGAGGAGACTGCAATATGGGATGATTACTGTCAGCAAAGTTCATCATGGTATTTTCATTTCTGGGCCTTGGGCACCACAGATTTCTTCACAACATTCCCTCCTCGATCTTTTCCACCTGCCTGTAGCTTTCGATATAGTCAGTCACACCACCTTCCTCTCTAATCATACGATTGTGTAGAGCCGCACTCACCGGATCCCATTCCTATCTATAGCCGATTGTAGCCAGTTTGTTGCTCTTCCTCCCACCCCTGTACAGTTACCTAAGGATCTATTCGTGGTCTCTTCCTTTTTCTCAATTGCAAGTTACCCCTTGGCAACATGATCTGAAGCAAAGGTTCTTTTTCCCATATACACTGGTAACACTCATCTGTACCTCACCACCACATATCAAAACTGCTCCACTGCTTCTAAGTTGTCAAACTACTTGTAAAACATTCAGAATTGGTTAAGCAGAAATTTTCTCTGAAGTAATTAACTGCAGTCACTGCTGCAATCTCTATTCCCTAGCTGTCAACTCCATCCCTCTCTCTGCCAAACTTCAGAGAACGAATCGGATTGTTGACAACTTTGATACAATGTCAAAACTTAGTGAGTTATGGACCTACACTAACACTGAAACTGCCTGTTGCCAACTCCATACCATTGCCCATCTTCATCCCTATGACTGCTCATCAGTTACTGAAAGCTTTGTCCACATTCTGTGATATGTAGACTTGACTATTCTGATGCACCCAAGTCTAGTCTCCCACTGTCTACCCAACAAAAACTTGAAGTCATCCACATTCTGCTGTCTCTGTCATTATATGCATCAAGTCCCTTTCATCCAGTAATCCAGTGCTGCTTTTATCCTACGTTGATTCCAGTCAAGCAGTACTTCAATTTTAAAATTCTCCATCCTGTTTTCAAGTAATTAATTGTAGCCAATTTGTTGTTGCTTCTGTCCTGAACCGCCTCTCTCTTTGCTTTCCTGTGCACCCTCGCAACCAACCCCAAGACATTACTAAAAGAAGAGATGTATTGATGAATCTTACACTCATCAAGCCAAATGCAAGAATGCCAAATCTCAAACAATCACAATTTATGCTACAGGGGAAGAGGGTGCAGTTTGGTTGGCAAGTCAACCAGGGTCAATGTTGAAGCCGCCCAGGGCTATTCCCTCCCATTATTTACAAGATAATGAAGGTAAAGACATCTATTTGAAGGCTGGGCAGTTGATATATTCTGTCACTGACCTGTTACCCCAATAAGCAAAAGAGCGGACAAATTGAATTCATACTGTCATTTTAGCTTTCGCTCAGCCCTATACTACTTCAGACTGGAGCACGGTCCTGGTCTGCTTGACTCCATCTGTGTGAACCTGGAAAATGAAAGTAGCTCAGTGGTTAGCACTGTTGCCTCACAGTATCAGGGACCTGGGTTCAGTTCCACCTTTGGGCGATTGCCTGTGTGGAATTTGCATGTTCTCCTGTGTCTGCATGGGTTTCCTCTGGATGCTCCGGTTTCCTCCCACAGTTCAAAGATGTACAGGCTAGGTGGATTAGCCATGATGAATTACCCGTAGTGACCAGGGATGTTCAGGTTAGGTGGATTAGCCATGGGAAATGCAAGGTTGAAGGGTAGGGGATTGGTGTGGGTGGAATGGTCTTCGGAGAGTCAGTGTGGACTTGACGGGCTGAATGGCCTGCTTCCACACGGTAGGGATTTTATGATTCTATGGTGTGTTTTCTCTAACGTGCTTCAGATCACCTGGCTTGGATAAGAGTTGACCCACAAATTAAGTCCTGAGAAAGTAAGGGTCAGTTTCAGTCTCTCAAACCTTGAAATCAGTAGTTCCAACTGCTCCCTTAAATATTGCAGGCTGATGTGAATGAAAGTGACAAGATAGTGATATTAAACAATCAGAAGTGCAGAATAAAAGGAGAGGTTCTTTTTAATTATTTCACGGGGTGAGAGCAAAGTTAACATTTGTTATTCATCCTTAATTGTCCTTGAGAAAGTGTTGATGAGCTTCCATCTTGAACAACGTCAGTCCATTAGTTATAGATATACCCGGTGCAGTTGGGAATGTTTTGATCCAGTCTTAAATGCAATGTCAGGATGCTGTGTGACTTGAAGGGAAAATTGAAAGTAGTAGTGTTGTCATATATCTACTGTCCTGCTAGGTGTACTGGTCACAGGTTTGGGAGATGCTTTTGAAGGAGACTTGACAAGTTGCTGCAGTTAATTTTGTCCATTGAACACATTGCTGCAAATGCAGGTCAGTTTTGGAGGGAGTGAACGTCGAATATGGAGGATGGGGCATCAGTCAAGCAAGATACTTTGTCCTGAATATTGTTGAGCTTCTTGAGTGTTGTTGGAGATGCAGTCATCCAGCCAAGTGGAGAATATTCTATCAGACTTCTGGCCTCTGCTTTGCAGATGGCAAGCAAACCTGTTGATTATCCTACAAAGAATGGGAAATGAAAAGCTAAGCTGCTTTGATGAAGGCTGTGCGTTTTATTTGATAACCCTTTGAGATTTTATCTAATCAGTGCTCGTTTGATCTTCCACAGCTAATAAACCAAGTATTGAACCGAGTTACGGCTGAAAAGAACCTCTTTGACCGTGTTGTCAATCTCCGCTTACCTGGTGAGTAATATCCTCTTCCAAGTTGGCTCTTGGGGAAATAGGAGGAAGGGGTTCAGCGAAAGTTTAGGAGAGGGACAGATTTGAGAGCCATGAGGAAGATTCTGTTGGGCATGGAGAAGGGAAACTGAGTTTGGGGAGGTGTGTGAGGAAAGATGGATATTTGGAGGTGAGGGGAAGGAAGGCACAGTGTGGTGGGGTGGTGGTGGTGTTGCAGCTTAGAATGGGTGGGGGTGCAGTGAAGGGTACAAATGGACCAAGAAGGAATGAAACAATGAATGACATTGGTCTGAGTGAGACAAAGACTCACTCGAGAAGTAATGATTTTTATTGTTAGGTTTTAACTTATTGTTATTGCAGATTTCCAGATGAAATAAAATGCACTGATAAATTAATTGTGATGTGAGTTACTTTGATAAAAGAATGACAAAGAGTGTAAAAGTAAAATTGTTTAGATCTAGTCCTATTCAAGTAGATTTGGGTGGGAAGTTGGAGATTAGTTCAGCTGTTTTAATTTGATGATATTTCAAGATAATTACGTGGCTAAAAATTTAATCATTACCCAGGGTGTTAGTTATCCTTTATTTTATTAAAACACCTCCTTGGCCAATAGCATATTTCTTACTATCCATGTGATCTTTTCATTTTCTTATTAATTTGTTTTAATGCAAGTGTCATTGGCAAGACCGGCAGCTATTACTCATCCGTCCCTGAATTTCCCTTGAGTTGGAATGAGCCAGTTCTTAACCACTGCTGTCTGTATGGTAAAGGTCGCAGCAGTTTGGATAAAACTGAGTGGCTTGCCAGGCAATTTCAGAGACCAGTTAAGAGTCCATCGCATTGCTGTTAATCTAGTGCAAGGTTGCCAACATTTTTCACGTTTGATCAGATGTGGAGGGAGACAGGCATATTCTGTCTAAAATAAAACAAAGAACTCCAAATGCTGGAAATCTGACACGAAGGTCGAAATTGTTATAGAGGCTCAGCAGGTCTGACTGCATCTGTGGAGAGATAAGTTAACATTTTGAGTCCAGTGACCGTTCTTCAGAACAGACCCTTCTGTTCAAAACACTAACTCTGTTTTCTCTACACAGATGCTGACAGATCTGCAAATTTTCTCCAGCAATTTCTGTTTTTGTTTCTCTCTCCTCTCTCGCTCTCTCTGTCTTCCCACCCCAACCCCAACCTGCCACTCCCTTTCACTTGCTGTCTGTCTCACTCAGTCAGCCCTCCTCTCCAGGCCCCTCACTAACTCACACCAACTCCCAGTCTTGTACTTGTCCTTCCACTCTCTGTCAATCAGTCACCCATTTGACAGCCTACTTTGTTTCACCGACCCCCCATTTCCAAATGAGACTGTCACCATTTGCTACCTCAGGACATTCCAACATTGAGAGGTATACCTTCAACTGCTTAGGTCCTAAACTTTGAATTTCCTACCCCTCTCTTCTCTTTTCAGATAATTGCCCGAACTATCACAGCCTTTGTTTAACTAACTCGATACCTCCTGATGTTACTTGGTTTTAGATTTTGTCTATGCTTTGTGAAGCATCTTGGGGCATTTTACTATGTTGACTGTGATGTAATTGCAAACGTTGTAACTCCTAAGACACTCAATCCACAAGGATGTAGCACTAGTGCATATTATATTAATATTGACTATCAGACCTACCATATTCAAACAAGCCTTTGAAAAGTCAGTGGAAGTAACAAGTAAACTGACATGTAACATAATGTAAAATTCTGGAAGACTTGTTGCATCCCTGTAGGTGACGTGATCACAAGCAATATTTCATAACAGACAAATGATAAACAACATCAACTACGCAGTATTTAGTAGAAAGCTAATACATCAAACTACAGATAACCCTCTTTAACTTTTTAATGCAACAAAAGCCTACACCACAGCTCTACGTCTCTGTAATTTCGACTCACAGAATTGCAGTTTTTACAGGAACCAATCCAACATCACTCCCAGTTTCCAACAGGTTCACACCTCACATTTCACTGAGTCCTAACATTGAGACTTTATCCCTCACATTCCCTTACCCTTGGACAAAGGAAACATCTCTTCAACCAGAGAGCAGTCATCCTCCTGCGTTCTGCCTGGTGGTCTACAGAAAGTCCACACCATCCTCTAAGTTGACCACACTGGCGGCTGTCCATGTTTCCTTTCATGCTGGACCCCTCTCTGTGTCCAAAACTCACAGACAGAAAGTCTTTCCACAGTCAGGCCCAGCCGCTCTTGCTTTTGCTTCAGTCATGACCATTTTGTACCTAGCCTTTAGTAACTCTTACTTGCGGCTCTCCCCATCCTGTCCCTATGGTAATTAAACCACCTGTCAGTAGACAGAACTCATAACAGATAACATGGCTCTCTTCATTATCCAATTTACCTCAAATTAAAAAGGCAATTTAAAAACATAACAATCTTAGAAACTTCCCACTGGCTGACCCTGGTGGTGTAAGTAGTAAGTGTGTGAAACGTGTGCAAGGCTGTTATGGCACAGTGGTAGTGCCCTTACCTCTGGACCACAACATGTGGATTTCAAGTCCCACCTGACCCAGAGTTGTATTATGACATATCTGAACCAGTCGATTTATATTAAAAAAAAATTAGGAACTTGCCATTCGTAACAGAAGTAATAAACCTGAGTAATTTGAACTTGTATTGCTGCTTAAAGTGCTGCTAGCTGAAGGATGCTCTTACAGCCCCTTTTCAGTTCAGTTCAGGCTCTGATCTTGCATGGTTTTTATTGATGTAGATCAGTGCAGTATGTTGGAGGCTGGAGTCACTAAACAGGAGAAACTAATGTATTGCTTAATTATTTTACACATCTTTCCGCAGGTTTGGAAAGCGTGGATCATTATCCAGTCCTTGTAGCTGTAACAGGAATTCTTGTCCGAATTCTGGTTGACTCTGATGTTCAGGGGTAAGAAATAGTTTGACATGGGTTGAACAAGAACATTGTTGAATCTTGATGTGACACTTTAAATGGTGGTGTGCTGACTGTGCTTTCTCGTGTTTTGTTATTCTATTTAAGCAAGCTTACAAAAACTACCCAATAAAGCAATTGCTTATTAAGTCCTGGTTAAAGAGCAAATGGGACATCCCTTGATGAGCTAAACCTGAGGTTTTGATCAATTATTCATAGTGTATTCGAACAGTGAATTTTATCAAGACAAGACAAAGTGTCAGAGCTTTAACTGAGCTCTGACAGAAGCAATGACTCAGCTACTGACTGGAAGTTGCTCCCATCCTCTTTTTGTTGGAGATGGTCGTTGCCTGGCTCTTTTGCGGCACAGATGTTACTTGCAACTGAACCCAATTTGCTGTTTGCGTTGTGTGGGTACAGTTTTTTCATTATGTGCAAATTTGGGAATGGTGCTGAACACTATGCAATTATCAGAAGACATACCCACTTTTGATCTTGTTAAAGGGAATATCATCAATGAAACAACTGAAGATGGTTATACAATAATGTCCTAGACCTTGGTGTACAGGGCGCAGTTTCAAAATTTTCAGGCAGTACAAAACTGGTATGACGATAGTGTTGAACTTCAAAAGGCTATAGACAGGTTGAAGGGCCAATAAGTGACACATGAAATTTAATGCAGAGAAATATGAAGTGGCAGGAAGAATAAGATCAGAATTAAATAAAGGATACAATTCAAAAGCAGGTGCAGCAGCAAAGGGACCTGAGTGTATATGTGCATAAGTCATTGAAGGTGGCAAGTCTGGCTGAGGTTGTGATTAATAAAATATTCGGCAATGGATTACTGGCTTTAAAACTAGAGGACTAGTGTACAAAGATGCAGAAGTTATGCTGTAGTTATACAAAACTCTGGTTTGACCCCACTTGTGCAGATCTGGGCACCGCACCATGGGAAGGATACATCGGCCTTGGAGGGAGTGCAATGTGGGTTTACAAGAATGGACTTAAGGAGTTAAGTTATGAGGATAGATTATACAAATTATGCCTTTTTTCTCTAAATTTAGGTTAAGGGGCGATATGATTGATGTCTTCACAATATTAACGGGAAAAGACAGAGTGGATAAAGATAAGACTATTTCCACTGGTTAAAAATACTAGAACTCGGGGGTTTTGTCAACCGGTTAGGGCCAAATGTTCAAGAACAATGTTAGGAAACACTTCTACACACAAAGGACAGTTGAGGTTTGGAACTCTCTTCCATAAATGGCAGGTGATGCTAAGTCAGTTAATTTTAAAAATGAGATTGATACATTTTTACTGAGCAAAGGTGTTAAGAGATAGGGGCTAAAGGGAGGTATATGGAGTTAAGGCACAGATCAGCCATGATCTCGTTGAACGGTGGAATAGGCTTGAGGGACTGAGTGTCAATTATCTGTTCCTATGTTCCATCCTAAGGTTTATGAATTGGGAGACAGAGTACAAAAACTAGGTTCTGTTAAACCTGTATTAAACTCTGGCTCAGCCTCAAATGGACAATGATGTCCACACTTTAGGAAGGATAAGAAGGTATTTGAGCAGGGGTAAGAAAGATTCATGCAAATGGTTCCAGGGATCAGGAAGATCAGTTATGTAGATAGATTGGAGAAGTTGGGACTGTTTTCCTGAGAGAAGAATCTGGACAGAATAGATAGAGAAAAGCTGTCCATTGGTGGAAGAATTGAGCACTGGAAGGTACAGATTTAAGTTAATTGACAAAAGAAGCAATGAAGACAGGAAGAGAAGCTTCTTTTTTAAGTGGGTGTTTAGGGTCTGGAATGTACTGCCTGACAGTGAGATGGAAGTAGGTTCAATCAAAATATTCGAAAAGAAATTGGATTGCTTCCTAAAAAGGAACAACAGGCAGAGCTACAAGGATACAGCAGGGGAGTGGAGTAGGTGAATTACTTTTTAAGAGAACCAGCACAGACAGAATGGCCAAACGTCCTCATCCTGTGCTGTAACCATTCTGGAACCCAAACTGTGCATTGGTTGAGTCTATTGGTAATGCAGTATGTTAGAAATGTTGACAGCACTTTTATCTCGCTTTACTGACGATTGAGATTAGGCTAATGAGACATGAATTGGCTGGACTGGATTTACCCTGGCTTTTGTGGGCAAGCTGTCCTCGCAGAACATCTTGGAAGATACCAGTGTTGTAGCTCTGCTGACAATTTGGGTAGAAGCACAGCTAATTCTGGAGCACAGGCCTTCAGCACTACAACAGTATTGTTATTGGAGCCCTTAGCGCTTTCTGAATCCGATGCTCATAGTCATTTTGATATCATGTGGAATTGACTAAAGACTGGGTTCTGAGATGTTGGGGAGCTCAGGAGGAGACCGAGATGGATGATCGACTGATTATGACTCTTGTGTACTTGCTGGTCTTGTTTGTTGCAGTCACACGCTGGCTGTATCGTCATTGATGATAAGCAAGCTTATGAAGCAGCTTTTTCCCATTACTTGTATATATTTCGAGTGTTTGCATCATTTGTCCATGATCATGAACTCTGTGAAATTGCAAGTGAGGAAGAGATGATTATATAGGATTTTCTACAACTCTGACTGCTGGGACTGTGCCTAGTTCCAGTGCTCTTTGGAAGATTACAACCAATGCATTCCAAGTTTCCTTTTCTGTTCCTTTGAATACCCTCGGATGTGTGCTGTCTGATCCCCATAGACTTAACCTGGCATCTGTTTAGTAATCCCCATTTGAAAGCATGATTGTATTAAGATTCAAAGGGCACATTTCAGAATATACCCCACGTAAACTTTTCGGCAAGTAACCTTGATTTGTGAATAGAGAAATGATATTCCTTAAAGGTCGCAGCATGTTATTGAACCTGACTGTGTGGTATAATCTCTCAGCCCTTCACAGTGCCCTGATCTTTTTTGTTATGAGGTGTGCTCTCGGCCAAGGCTTAAGCATTATTGTTAGGAAAACAATTGCTAGAATAATTCTGCAACTTCCAGTTGCATATGGATTGCAGCCAGCACACTGATACTGCTGCAGTGAGTCAATGCTTCCGCTTGTATGAGTAACCATGATGGGGCTAATGCTGTGTAAAAGGTTTGCAGTGAGATGCTGCAGAGTAGAAGATGAAAACTAGATCCCAGGTCATTTCACGGCACTGTTATTACTGCTGTAACTGTGTAGTCCATCAGTAGTGTTGTGAAGCAGTTCACTGCACTTGTTTGAGTGAGGGATATTGTAGCAATTTTAAACTGGCATCTCCTTTGCTACACCATGCTAAACACAAATGATCTAATCTTTGAATCTAAGAGCAGCGCAGTGAATGTTTGCAGTGCGCTTGGTGTCCTCGTGAAGGTCTTACATGATCTTGCCTTATGACAAATTTGTGTCTAGAACCCTCTAGGCTTTCTGATGTCCTGGGTATTACTTTCAATGACGTAATACCACAAGGAAATCACTGCTGACAATGCAAACTGAATGTGAGTTATCAACTGATCAACTTGAGTTGATGCTCTGGTGAAAGATATAAAAATATGAATATGTTGGAAACACTCAGCAGGTCAGGCAGTATCTGTGGAAAATAAGAAAAGGTCTGAAACTGTTGTGTTTTGCATTTAACAGATACTGCCCAGCCTGCTGACTTTCTAGCATTTTCTGATGTTTGAGATTCGACTATCAACAGTTCTGCTTTGATGTCTATCTGATTTCTTCGCTTTTCTTTAGCTTTCCCCTGTTAGCTGCCATTTCCTGGCTAAATGTTGCACTTACAGGCTGCTGCCCATGTTTTGTAGAGGTGTAAGTGCAGGCTGTGCATGTGTTGTACTTGTGAAAGCCTCACTCGGCTCTGAACCTTGATGCTGGTGGAGCTTAGTAACTAGCTGAGATGCTTAGTTTTGCAATATTCTGTATTGGTCAAACAATAGGGACAGGAATCAAGTTTATCTGCTTCAATTCTCCCTGTTGCTTGTTGATTCACTTAAGTAATGGGTTCCTTTGTATCTGCTGTTTTCTCTGGACTTAGTCAACTTTTTGTCATCTCCAATTTCCTAACCAACACTGTGGCTTTTCTCATTTCCTTCTTATAATGCTCCTTTCATAGACTTTCACTGAATCCATACAGTGTGGAAGCAGACCAATCAGCCTATTGAGTACACACCAGCTCTCCAAAGAGCCTCCTTCCCACACCCACCTCAACCCTGATAACCCTGCATTTCCCATGGTCAAACCACCGAGCCTGCACATCTCCTCACACAGTGGGCAATTTAGCATGGCCAATCCACCTAACCTGCACATCTTTGGACTGTGGGAGGAAACCAGAGCACCCGGAGGAAGCCCACACAGACACAGGGAGAATGTGCAAACTCCGCACAGACAGTTGCCTGAGGCTGGAATCAAAGCTGGGTCCCTGGCACTGTGAGGCATTACTGAACCACCGTGCTCCTATTCACATCGAACTTTCATATTTCCCCTCCCAACAAAAAAAACACATGCGTGGTGCGTGTTGTGATTCAGTGCTTCTATGTGATTGCAACTAATCACTGTTAAGAATGGGTCACTGCTGATATCTGACCATTTGTGAGATTTGACAGTAAATGTTGTTAGGCTGATTGACTATCCTGGGGAGAATGAACATTAGAAGACAGCTTGACCCGCTAAGAGGTCATCACATTATCAGCTGTGTGATTAATTGAATTGCAGTTGTGATTTTACTGTTAATGCCAGCCTGGACTAATTACTTTAAATTCTGAGGTTGTGATGGGAAAATTGAGCAGTCACTAGTAATGGGCATGTTTACAACCTTCTGTATTTATTTTAATTTTCAGCATGAGCATCAGAGCCTGAGGGATGATCTTATAGAAGTTTATAATATTGTGAGGGTCATGGATAGGGTGAATAGCCAAAGTCTTTTTCCTAGGGTGGGGGAGTCCAAAATTAGATGGCATAGGTTTAAGATGAGGGGAAAGATTTAAAAGGGACCTGAGGGGCA